ATAGAATTCATAAAAGAATTTATTTATACTATAGTTATTATAACGCAAGAATTCATATAAGAGCTTTCTAGATCTTTGACTAACAAAAAACCTTTGCATTCTGGATCAGAAGTGTCATAATAATTAAGTATCCAAGTTTTAATATCATTGATATTAGTATTCAAATTTTCAGGATCAATAATACCTATCTGTTCTTCTAGCTTAAAGAAAGTATCTATATATTTTTAATCAGAAATTGGCTCTTAACAAAAATGTATTAAATACTTCTTAAAAATGATAAGCTTATCTAAGGAATTAAATTTATTTATATAATGATGAAATACTATAGAGCTCCAGAAGTAAAATTTTATATTTATAAGTTTGGAATTTAGGTTTATCAGAGATTTGTATTGACATTTTTTTTATAAAAAATAAATATTCAAATATTTTTTCAAACATATTCTACATCTTGGAGGCTAAACAATCTTCCCAATTAAAATTAATAAATTCATGATATCTTTTACTTCCAGCAATAATTCATTGTCTAGTAAGAAAATTATAATAATACTGTCTAGAAATAAGTGAGGAAACATTTGATACACCCCACATCATAATTCCTTCAACACCATGTTTCATTGTTCAAACAAGACAATTAATATTATATTTTCTTCTACAAGATGCTAAACCCGAATTTTTCCATATTTTAAAATATAGTGAATTAGGATTCATCAATCCAGACCACTCTTTTCTAATCATCTATAATCCATAAATGCCTTTATGAGTCCAATTTAATCGTATTTTTCAATTTTTTTTACTAACACTAGGTTTTCTAAAAGCTGTACAACTGTTATAATCCATTTCATATAATGTTTCTACATAGTACGTCTATATACTTTTTTTTCAGTAAATTCAATAAAAATTTCATTAATTTTTTCTATAAATTTATGCTGATTTTTGATAATAATAGCTTTAAGATTATGTTTATCCCGTTCAGTTAATTCTTTGGACAGCCACTTCAGAAATAGCATTCGTTTTACAATATTTTCTTTTATATTATGGATGGTAGTTTTCCATAACTTGTTTTTTTTGAAATAGTTCTTTCAGAGTCGTCGGCTTCATAAAAACCAATAATCTTTTTACGTTTAAAATTCGTCAATTCTTTTTTTTAATCATTTTACATTTTAAATGAAAAAAAAGTTAAGTCTGTGTAATAATCATCATTAAACAATATACATCATATATAGTTTTATTTAAGTTATACAAAATGCATAATTATTACAGTTTAGGTATTATTTATGCTGATCTTAAAGATGATCCTAAACTTTTTATGTAGAAGTGTATTTATTTTATTTTTCTATATTTTCTTTATTTAAATTGTTATAACAATATATAAAATAGTTTTTATATAAATAAGAGCAGTTTAGTATTAAGTAGCAATAGGATTTCATAAGTTTTTTTAAGTTTATTTTAGTAGTAATAAATTTTTTAATAAATAAACTGCTTAGTACAGACACACTGACAAAAGCAGTACTATAATTTTATTTGTTAATCATTTATCCTACATGTATTTATTGTTTTTCTATTATACTTAAAAACCTTTAATTATATTTTTAACTTTCTTATAAAAGATACCTTCTGCATTCGTATATATATTATTTATTAAGCTAAATAATTCAAAAAACCAACATAATCATAATTTTTCCAATTTTGCTATTTACTATGATAATTTCAGTATTTTAGAACTTTACTATAGTTTTAGCATAAGTAATTATAAGAGTTTAATATAGTTTTGTTTTGACATTTTAGCAGTTTTAGTAAAAAAAAAATACCTTTTAGTTTATCTAGCAAGCTTAGGTGGAATCTTAGTTTACAGAATTTTGAATTATTTGAGTATATTGTTTATTAGATTTATCAATATTAGATATTTAAATTTGTTAGAATTATGTTATTAAAATTCTAGACTATCAGAATTATAATTAATCAATTCAAATTATTATAGAAATATTTTTTACATGTCAATTAGTAATACCTGATAAAACTAGTTTTTATAAATAATAAAACTATTTTATTTAATTGCTAAAATTTATTTACTTTATTTTAATTTCTTAAATTAAAATATATTAAAAAAATATAATAATTTTAAATTTATTCATATAAGTAATTAATCTTTTTGATGAAACTACAATTTTTTAAAAAAGAGTTTAGATAGGTATTATTAAATTTTACTTATTAGAAGAGTATTACAAAAATACTTAAAATATAAATTTTTCTAAAGATAACATAAAAGAATATAGCTATATAAATAGCAGTAACAGTAGTTATAACTGTAAATATAGCTAATATATAGCTAAATATTTGTTTTATAAAATTAAAAATTGATATATATATTATATATTATCAAAATCAACCAAAGTCTTAAAAAAGATACAAATCAAAAGAAAGTCATTTTTTCTGAAAATTATATTGATAAATTATAATATCAATGTCTCTTTTTTACTAAATTAATTTTATATATAATACAAAAATAAGAATTTTTTAATTTTTTATTAATTTAATAAATTACAAATTGATTTACTTTTATCTTTTACTATATTAATGAAATATTATAAAATATAAATAGTAATAAATTAAATAGTAATAATTTGCTATATTTGTTTTCATATAAATTTTTTGATTAATAGATTTCATTAAAAAAAAAAGATTATTAGAATTAATCGAAACTAAAAAAAAATAAAAATAAAATATTCCTAAATTAAAAATGAAATACTTTTAGAAACACTTTGACAAATAAGATTAAATGGCTTAGTATTTTATTTTATATATATTTTTTTATACTGCGAAACTTATAATTAATATTAATATCTAATCTAATATAATACTATAAACTTACCTATTATTATATTAAAAATATATAGCTAAAATTGAATTCTAATATATTATATACATATATTTTTAAAAATTACAAACATTTAATGTTTAAATAACTTTAAATTTATTATATAATAAAAAAAATATTGTTATAATATATTATATATATTTTTAAAAATTTTGAAAGTAAATTTATAAGATATTAAAAACAGATTTTTGCAATTATAAGTTATAATACTTTAATTAATGATATTTTTATAGAATATTTAGAAAATACTTATCAAAATAAAAGTATTATTTTAATGCTATTAGTAATCATTGTCACATGTTATGAATTTAGCTATACAGAATATTCTAGAACAAATAAATGCAAATGAAGCTAAAACTGAAGATATTATATTAGATTTGGAAATAACTACTGTAGATGTAATTCCAAAGGTAAATATTTTATATTTTATAATATATTATTAAATGTTAATTGTTATTTTTAAAGTATATTAATTATTAATTTGTATTAATTTATTACATTTTAATTAGCTTCGTATACTTATAGTTAAAATACAATCATCATTACAATGTTAAAATCAATTTGTACATTACGCTGAAGTAGCTAAACTTAAAGAATGGGGGGAATAGGTGAGTTCCCACTAAGGAGCAGTAGGCTTCCCAATGCCTTCTTGTTACACTACTTTGTTTTCTTTTTCTATTTCTAGCATCTATAGCTCATTATAATTACTAATTATATTTCTTGCCTAGCTGAAGATTCCACAAACTTAGAAACACTATTTTGTAATCTTACTTAGCTATACTCTTTAAAATCTGGCACAAAAACTCTAGAATGCCTAGGGATGCCTAGAGGGTATCAGATATGTTCACAGTTTGAGAAGCATTGAAAATGCGACGGGTTGTAAAGCATCGAAGATGCGGAGTATATGTACATAAGATATGTTCACGGGTTGAGGAGTATTGAAGATGCGATGGGTTGCAAAGCATCGAAGATGCGAAGCATATGTAGACAAGATATATACACAATATATATTCACGAGTTGAGGAGCATCGAAAATGTGATGGGTTGCAGAGCATTGAAGATGCAGAGCATATGTACACAAGATAAGTACACAAGATATGTTCACGAGTTGAGAAGCATCGAAGATGCAGAGCATATATACAAGATGCGGAGCATATATACGTACACAAGATATGTTCACAGGTTGCGAAGCATTGAAGATGCGAAGTATATGTACATAAGATATGAACACAAGATATGGGACCTTTGCAATAGAAAGGGGGGAAACTGCCAAAAAATCAAAAATGAGTTAATGGCAATTTCAGATATATTTCGGCCCAAGGAATATATTTGGATTATAAAAGCAAGTTATATTACATAATAAAATTTTGAGATACTTCA